AGTAACCTTCTTCCTAATATCTTCATCAGCTGTACGATAGCTTAAACGTTTCACTAATCCTGTATAAAAAAGAAGAATTTCTTTAGATTTCAGTATCTAACGTTTATGTTGTCATTTTCTTACTTATTCCTTCTTTTAGCCAACAATGGACAATATATACCGAGATTCCAATTGCTCCTAATCTATCAATGATAATATAACCTTCATTAATTAATTTTTTATAAGCGAATGATGCTAAAGCAATAAAAAAAGTCTTCTTACAGTTGACTGGAAAACACTCTCTTTTGAAAATTGATTTCCTATAAATAATTTGTTTATTATATTACTTACTATATATTTATATACATATTGTAGTAGTAGAGCATACTTTTCTCTAGAACATCGGGTGTTGTTGTCTTTATTAGTGATGTTTGTTCACTGCAAATATCAGCTGGTAAATTTTTAAAAATGAATAAAAGAGATACGAGATAAAGTTGTCACTGAAAAGAAATTTTGCATCATTTGTAACTACCAGTAGTTGATATGACATTGGAAATTTGATTTGACATCTATGACATACTTGACAAGTCATCGTTTTGTCCTAGACTGTTAAAGTTTACGGTCGATATAATCCGCATGGATCATAACAATACCATTCATAAGACTAAAAGTGTTTTCGGAGCGATTACAATAAATCGATCACTGTTCAATACACTGATAGCTATCGGGATGAATGTACGGGAAATACTACACCAAAAGCCTGTAGGTTCGTAGATAATCGATCATAGTGTGTAAAAAGCTAAGTATGTCGAAAACTTGTCGTATTCTCTTGAACTACTGCATCAAATGAAAGTTAGTTTCAGATACGTGATTAGTGCCTTCGGGATATATATCGTGTTTTAGCAAAAACGGATACGATAAAGCAAAACAAAAACATTATCTAACGTGTGATTTGAATCTAAACCATTTGCAGCACAGACGATTTGAACAACTGCACTATACCAATAATCTTAGTGGGTAAAGCCACAGGATCACTTCTCAATGTGCACTTTACATATCAAAGCCCTCCATTCTATACGATTACTAGGAACAGAAGTGGAGTTCACTTCCAGTGTGTCATCTATACACTTATCTTTTACAGTGCCGTCGAATTCACACAAGCGCAGCGTTTCTGTAAGTCGTTTTCGCAGATGTGGTTTTCATGTCAGGGAAGAAACTTACGGCGTTTTATTGAAAACATACGATGTTGATTGATAGCATTGATCAATCGTGTCAACAAACTAAGATCAATTTTATTAATATTCTCAATTAAGTCTGTACTTGTTATCATGTCATTAGCCCCTTTTTGAACTATAGGCCAGAACTAACAAACATGAACATTCATGTTTGTTAGTTCTGGGACCTGATTCACCTAGGGTAAACATGTTCCAATTCTCCTACACAGCTTCACTGTTAACTAAACCGCAGAACTGTTGCTTATAGAGTAACAAATTGTTTTCGTTTTCATCACCGTCTGACAATGCAAATCTATTTAATAAAAGTAAACATTCTTCAAGATGATCAGAAAACTTTTTCTGTGTCTTGATAATGACAGTTGAGCTGTCGAAACGTCGGCTAAATGACTTTAACAAAAATTACTTAAAATTACCTTACGAATTTGACTTTTAAAGTTGTTATCAAAACTACCTTATGTATAGGCATCAGAGCTGATCACCTGCATTTTGGGGAATTTGATTTTGCTGCAAATTCACAGTAAATCGAATTGCTCTATCAAACTCAACATAGATATTACGAGGTGCCATTACGATATGCACATTAGTGAACAACGGATATAATAATAGACAAATAATATGTAGTCCATGGCTTCTAACCATTCACAGCTGAATCAAGAAAAGGATTAGGAGGTAAAACGCCG